CGAAAGTGTTTCCGCGCCGCCACCTCATAAAAGCTATGGTTAAATAGCAAAAAATTCATGGAAGCATAGTCAGATAGGGACCAGAGGGTAAAGCAAACAGATTATTGCAAAAAAATATGGTATGATAGCTATCTTAAACAATTACAAGTTATTGTTTAATAAAAAAGTTATTCGAAAGCGATGAAATGAAGCGACTCATTTAAATCGACTCTACAGGAGTGTGATCGAGGTTTTATTTATCCGTACTTGTACTAGAATGACTCAGGATTTCTATCCATAAAATTTCACAATATAGAATAACTCAGAAATTCTATTCATAAAACTGCACACTTTCACTATTTATTTTAGTCATATTCTATTCTATTCTAATCATAGTATTACCTTCTATTCTATATTCATATTATTATGAGCCGTTCTTTATATTTTACATTATATGATATTTTATTCTATAATAAATATTATTTTCTTTTCCATATAATGTATATTGTATTATTTGTAGTTACACATTATTTAGCATTTCGACATTGGTCAACACTGTTACAGTCAAATATAACAATAGCCTTATTTGTTGACAATGATATACCGTGATGTTATTCTGAGATTACTTTGGAAGCACGATTTGATAAGATTAAACGCATGTCTTTCTATGCAAGCAGCAATACCGGCTACAATTGGCGAATGCGGTAATGTGAACAAGACTCCGCAGTTTTCCAAAGTTAACTAGCTTCTTCATCGAAAATCATCTTAAAGGTAACTGAAAACGAAAGACGAAAATCCGGATTTAATTTAGCGTAATCGCATATGTGGCCGATTGATATGTTTGGACACAATAACCTTGCTCTTCACATTAGCACACTAGACGTTTTTATCACATTCCGCACATTAAACCTAAAGACATTGGCGATTGACCGTGGTGAGAGTCCGTAAGAACAAATGGAGGATACCCGTAAGAGTCGCCTCCATCACATCTGCTGTTGTGAACCTTCAGTCAGGAAATGCTTACTTCATTGGATAGGTGTGCTACATAAGGGCAGCTAGCTGAGGCATCATATAGCAAACGATTTCAAAATGTTCCTTAATAAGGCAAAGTTATTGACGCTCGATAGATTTGGAAAGGATTTATGAAATGATCTAGATAAAATGTTTTTTCTTTTGGTTTTGTGCTTGATTTGCTTGCCAACCCAGTCTTCCCTACTAAAAGCAAGGACTAAATTAGTGACACAAAAGACTACTTATGCACAGAGAAACTTCATTTCAAAATTTATTCCGGGTAAATTTATACATCACAGTGCACCTCGTACAACAGCAATGATAATCGCATAATACAAAAGTCTTCAGCATATCTTATGAATTTTTTACGATGTGTGACAATCAATATCTACATATGCATCTCATCACGGCGCAAACGAGCCACCAAGGAAGTAAGGTCTATAAAAACCTCTGGATCTGTATCTGTTGTATGGATTGAAGCGCCCATAGAATCCACGTCCGTAACCATAACCACGGTCATAGTTATCAAAACCTAAATGTGCATCTTGTCACACCGGACCTTACCAAAGGCCTATAAAGTTTTTTCCACCTCCGTATCCGTAATATGGGTTGTAACGATCAAAGTATCGTCCATAGCTAAACGGGCCAAAGTCATTGTCGTGGTCGATATCAAAATGATAGGCTCCGTATCGATCTCTACCCAAGTAGGTTATAGTGTCCTGTTGAGCTAGTACAATGGCAAAGAATATTGAAAAAATTAGCAGAAATCTCATATCTGAAATGCAATTAACATAGCAATTCATTCATGCAACTCATTCAATTTCGCTAAAAAGGGGTAAATGGGTCTTAGTGAGTATTTAAAAGGACAACGTCGATATGATTTACCGTAATCAAGCAGAAGAGATTGATCATCGAAACTTATGAAATGAGTAAGTCAAGCAATCATAGATGTTTAACAGCACGATTGCTGGACAAAATCACTAGTGTAAGCTACATTACCATGTCTAAAGTCCCAAGAAGCTCAACAAAGTGTGACTGCATACTGTATTAGTTCCGCATGATTACCTTCTTACTGTAAAGAGTTGCGATCATGCTTTCACTAGAGCAACTTGTCACTGAATCGTAGCAACTTTCGGGTATTTTCAAAAACTTTGCGAAAGGCTTGCTCATCGCCATTTGTGACATTGAAGGGGCTTGTGTCCAAGTACTTGCCAAGAGCCCGGCACTATCTTGCATTAGCAGCTTCTTAACCACAGAATTGTTAGGAGTACCTTATGAGTCTGTTGTCTCCAACTTTCT